GAGAAGGTGTAGCGGGGGCGGGGGTCGCACCCCGTCCGCGGCCCTGGGGCAGGGCTGAACCGGGGCGGCCGCCTCAGCTGGGGCGAGCGCCCATGCTGGGACTCAAGCGCAGTACGAGCGTGGCGGGACCGGAGCGCTGCCCGTCGTCGGCGACCGAGCGGCAAAGACAGCAGCGGCTGCGGCTCCTTCTGAGGGCGCCCGAAGCGCTCCCAAGGCCGGGGGGCGAGGGCCCGCGGCGCTTTCATCGCCGGCGCTCGCCCCGTCTCGCCTCTTGGGCTGGGCGCAGTCCCCGCCATGGTGGATACAGGCTGAGCGACTTCAGGAGCTGGCCCAGAAGCGTCGCCCTTCCTCCCTCTCTTGGGACAGCCCCAAGGCGCCCGTTCACGGTGTCCTCCGAGCGCCCTTCGCTAGCCAAAGCAGGATAGGCGGTGGGGCGTCCCACGCGAGAAGAAATTCAAGGTGGAAGCACCAAGAAGTTGCTACTTCAGGTTGCTCCTTCCTTAATAGCTGGCACTCTGGCTATCTCAGCTGCTTAACGTGGGTTACCTGTGCACGAGGCTATCGAATGGAGCAGTTTTTAATCCACAGGGGAGGGAACAGTACTCAAATTACAAAGTAGGTGCAGAGGGACATCTTTACAGTATCTGCAGGCGACAATTTTACATAGACAGTGGAGTTTTTACACCACATGAATTGTCTAAAAAAAGGGAGATGTCCTCTTCTCTACATTTCAGATAGTGAAAGTGGGAGTATTTAAGTCAGGTTGTTCTGAACACATTTATTGCATTTGTTTCAGAGAAAATCAGTTGAAATTCCACATTTTCAGCTGTGCCATGATTAGTCAACCAGACCCCAACTTTGTGGCTAAAGCTTATGGCAGCAGATATAGCAGAATGATTAAATGGATTTTGCCAGCACACTTCTATGCATGTTTTCTTAAATCTCACTTTGTTCAGATAAGAGAATTGCATCCTAGAGAAAGAAATTGCATCTTTGGAGAAAGAAGAAACGATAAAAAATGGTTTACTCTCAAATATACTTCATTGCAACACAAAGCTGACAGTCATAAATGCATTAAATATTGAACACTAATAGGCACATTAGAATATGGCTATTCTTAAGCTTCATACTTCTCCAAATTCTGCAATGCAATTTTCCGTATCAACAAGAAATGTGTATTAGGATAACTTGTGATTAAAATTAAAATGAAATTTCTTGCAATGAAGTGAAGAATGATGTGGAAGTTTAACAAAACATATGTTAGTTCATGGAAAAGAGAAATAGGACAATTAAAAACTGATCAGTACACCCCCAGTTGGGAGTTATTGCAAGTAATGCAGTAGGAAATTAAGAAAGCATTTTGATTGAGGAAATTACAAACCCTTGAAATTCTTGAATAAAAGGTTACCATTCCACAGATTTGGCACATACTCTGTATCTTTCCGGGCTACAGAATACTGTATATGTAAACTCCAATTTTAAAGCTTCTCTTCTTTATACTTAGTAATTTGAGTGAGCTCCTTAACATTAATTATGCATAATAACATTCCTTTTGTATTTTTTTTTAAGACTGAAACCACAGATCAAGTAGCATGTATTGTATTTATGCAAAGGAATCATATATTGTGCTTTACAACATATAATAACTACAGTAGGAATTGGGAATACTGCAATATACTATTATAATAAAAAACTGCTCCTATTTTAAAATTGCATTTTGAGTCATTATGTTCAAGTCATTATATTCAGTATCTGGTCTGAATATAATGGAAATACAAATACCTTACACAGAAATAACATTCATTCAGCTTTTTTAGTTTGAAGAAAACAGAAATGTGAAAAGAGGTGTATTTTTTACTTCCCTAATTTTAGTACACTAAAATAATTAATAATCCCCAGAACCATTACTGATGGAATTAAGAACAGTGAACATTAAAATATAATGGAAAATATTAAATACTGAGTAAGGAACAGCTTAGTGTAGTGGTTAAGGTGCTGGCCTAGAAACTAGGAGACTGAGAGATCTAGGCCATCCTTAGGCATGAAAGCGGCTGGGTGACTTTGGGCCAGTTACACTCTCTCTCCCAACCTATCTCACAGGATTGTTGTTGTGGGGAAAACAGGAGGTGGGAGCATTATGTTTGCTGCTGAGGGAGAGAGGGAGAGAGAAATAAAAAAGTGGGATAAAACAACAACAACAACAGGAGGAGGAGGAGAAGAAAGGATCTGCAGTAATGAAACTGAATGCAGATGAAATGCATATCTATGTAGAAATCAGGTTCTCTGTTTTGCTTTTTATATAAGCTCCACTGAAAGAAACTGAGATGTGCATGAAAGCTGAAAGCCACCTAATTCTGAAATAGTATCAGATTAGCTTGTCTGTTCCAGGAGTGATTCAAAACAAACAGAGAACACCAGTCTTGCTTCCCTGACAAACAGGAAAACAAATTATCACTGAAGTCAACAGGATGTCATTAGCTTGGTTTAGTTGGCTGCAGGTATTAAGCACTGGAAATGAAACTTTGAATGTTATTGTGGGCTGGATTCAGACCTAGTCAGAATCAACTCCTACAAGACTGATTAAACTCCCAGTAATTCCAGTGGATTAGTTATAAGCATGTCTAAGCATGCCATCAGGATCCAACTCTGTATGTTGGGCAACTGCATAAATGTATTTGTTCAAACTTCTGTAACTGTTTTATTTAAGTTGGTCAAGCATTTTAATATTACTTTAATAAAAAGGAAACAATGTTCTACTATTTTATTAGAATGTGTGAATGATTGAAATCAATATATGCTCTGTACCAAAACTGTTTATTTTGAATTTGCATGTTTTGATGTTAGGGTTAGGATTTAAAATTATATTTAAAAACATATACAAACATTTTAACAATGAAGATTAACACGATTCACTGAATTTGAAACATGGTGTTGTCTTAAAGAAAGGTTACAATTTTGCAGTTCACTTGTGATTTAGCAAATGAAGGTTGAATTTAGCTCTAAGTGCCAATTAGGAAAATTACAATTTTAATAAGGTATCAACACATTCAAAATAGGCATGGTTTAAAAATCCAAAAATATTTCTGTCACTGGTGACAAATATCTATTCACAATAAAATGGGCAATTCTAGATTATCATTACTGACATATTCATTATTAAGGTGATTTAAAGGAAACCCACATCACCTTTTAAAGAATAGCACAGTTCGAAAGGCCACAATTTTTCCAGGAACACTTACAAAAACAAAACAAGAACTTTTGAAATTATGTCAGTGTGCTCACCACAATATACAGCTACAGACATTTTTACAGGGAAAATCTTGATGTCATGGAAAATGTTAAGACTACTTTTAACATTACCAAAACAAAAAGTCTACATATTTACAGTATATACATATTTACATATTTTTGTTAAATACTGAGGGAAATGCAAATAGAGAATATTCTTTTTGCAAATAAATGTTCTTGCTGTGCAAAGTCAGTAAAGCGTATAATATATAGCTACATACAATCTACATTTCGTGGGCCACCATCCATTGTCAAAGCACCAAACCTAAATAAAAAAACATAACTCAGTTATTCCCAACAGGTAACACTATGCTAAATATTATATAACTTCGCTTTTAGACTAACCATTTAGAGATGTAACCACAATTTAAAAACACAATAACACAGTGTGTGAAGTTTTAAATGGATGTATTTGATTAGAAGGAGATTCAATAGAATTCTCTCTAGGAAAGTAATGTCTAAGGTGATGCAAAGTTTTTAAAGAAATAAAATGCTTTCAAATGGTACAGAGATGTGGAGATTTGATGGATTTTCCGCCATTTCTTCTGTTTACGTATGGACAAAGTTGGGAAAAAGAGTTGTTTGATGGGCTCCCACAAATTCCCAGATACTGTCATAAGTAGAATGCCCATGACTGTTACCACTTCAACAAACCTTGCCTATTAAAGGCAAGGATCTGGCAGGGAGAGGGGCAGTGCGGCTGCTCTGCTGTTTGCTTTCACTCTCTGCTAAAATTTATTCAGGAAGGTGTTTTTTTTTTAAAATCTATCTTGCCTTTCCTTGGGCAATATTCTATCTTTCCATCAATCCATATGTTTTATTGCTATTCTTCCTTGAGTTTCAATCTATTTGATCTATGGTACAGGTTCTGTATTTTGCCTGCTTGCACTTCTTTAGCTCTCAGTCCTCCCTTTTTATTCTTCCCACCTCTGAACAATTTTAAAAATAAGCCATCCTGTTCTGCTATTTGTCTGTTTTGTCTTAGGCTGAATGTGTCTGAAATAGTGTACTTGCATATAACACAGAATATTTCTTTATATCAGTATATTATATATGTAACAGAGATAACATACATCTCAGACTTTTTTTTAAAATAAAAGTTGTACATACAATTTGTGCAAGAGTTACTGAAGAGGCTAACATTACCAGTGAACTGGCAGCCTAGAAATGCATTTAGTCAGAGAATGGCACATCCTCTGAATTTTAGCAAGAACTTATATTTTAAAAAGCGGCTGTTGTCATTATTTAGAATCTGACCCATTCTGGATTCATTGTTTATGAAATTACTAGGAGACTTTACCCTCTTTTAGGTCTGACATATGATTTACAGACTGTTCTTCTTCCATGAACAGCCTAATGTGAATGCAAACAAAACAAGACAACCTGCTGGTATCAAATGAGCGTGTAGAGCTTGTTAAGTAATCTTGCAGGTATTCAGAATTACAATTCTGATAGGCACAGCAATGATTATGCGCAATAGGCACAGATTACGAGAATTGCAATTTTGGAGAATCTCAGGTTGCCTATCCTGGGGCTACAAGCTCACTTAATTCAACCCACTGTTTCTTTGCATCTCTACTGAACTACCTGTAGAAGAAAACTATTCTGAATGTCATGCAGAAATACTCCTACTCTGACCAAACACGAACAACACTTGCTCAAGTGCGTGGGGAAACTCCAAATTCCTCTAAGTCTTTTCCCACAGGCATAATTCCCACCCAACTCTCTCCCCATGTGGTTCTGCATTCCATTCAGATAATTCCCTTGAAATATGACTTCACAGTTCTCCGGATGTATGCTATAGTGTAGCATGGCTAATTACAGACATAGCTAAAGACCACCACCACAAGTGTAGCAGTGTTTTTTTTTTCTTTAGCAAATAATGGAAAACACCACTAGCTGTGGTTTCTTTGTTTCTCCATATAAAAGTGTCTTCAGGAATGATTTTGGGGTATTCGTGTCTAGAAGAAAGCCACACTGTGGAATAATCCTACCACAATAAATAATA